CATCATATGTTAAAAATAAAAGGTTAATATAATAACATAACATAACATAACATCACATCTTTTATCCCCGAAGTGGTAGGCAGAGGTGCACATTACGGCACTTAATGCCACTGTACAATGTAACACCCATTTTTCACTATTTATGTTATGAGTCCCATGTAATAGGGTACATTTCCAGACTCCGTGCTACTACTGAGATGTAATACTGAACAAATATTGAAGAATCTCATACAGACATATATATTTATTTAAAATTCTCTATAAATTATATTTCTAAATACTACTTACAAAATTAAAAAAATAATATTTAAAAATATAAAAAATAGGACCCGACCAGTAGCGGGAGCATGGTCCAAGCTACCGGTGGTTAGGGCTCCAGAGACAGAAACCTCCTCACGATACGTGCCGTTTCTAGGAGAACTGCCTTCTGTATCAGGCCCTTGATCCATCCACCTAACGCCAGCCTCCTGAGATGGATGTCGAGGCTTTTAGGGATTAACCCATTGGCCGACACGACTATCGGCACAATGATAGCCGAATCCACACTCCACATGTCGACAACCTCGTGAGCTAAGTCATACAGACATATTATTATTAATACTTTTCTTTAAAGCTTACATTCATAATACCTTTTATTCCCCAAAGGGATAGACAGAGGTGCACAAAATTACGTAATACCCTACTTTACGCCAATTTTTAGCATATACAAGGTGTTGTTTTAAAGCCGCGTTATTTTCTAGGAGGTAACTCGGATATCTATATATATGTAGCCTTTGACAATATTTTGAAACTGTGTGACATTGGTTTTTTGTTTAGGTTTTGGTTTTATATCATGTAATGTTTTAACAATATGTGTGACAATATGTGCATTATATTTTGACTAATCTTTGACATTATTCTGAATTTCTGAAACTGTATATTGATTGCATTGATTAGATTCTTGAACTTATAAACCGCCTTGCTTAGAAGCCTAAATTAATGAAATTCTATTGTTTTATTTTTGTGTATGTGTTTATGTTTTCGTAATGTGAATTTGCTTATCTCTTTTTTTTTGTACCTATATTAAATTCAGACACAATGTAAATTGTTAAATGAATAAATAAATGAAATAAATGAAATATCGATTCTGAGTCCGAATCAATAAAAAAAATTGTAGGTATATATTTTTAATTTTTCTGAAATTACGGAAATCCGTAAGTGCGAAGTACACGCCGCCGTCTTAACACACACAATCTCAAATTTATTATAGCCGTATTTTTAACTATTGGCCCGAAATTTTCTCTTACATTGAACCTTTACGACTTCTGTGACATGAGAAATGTCACGGTTTCAAAACTACACCTTGTATTATATTTATATATTATTGATAATTATTTTATTATATAGATAATAATCTAGCTTGGATAGTTCAATTTCACTTTTTAAAAGCTTTTATTTACCTTGCAATTGATATATGTTTGCGTGTGTGTGTGTGTAGTGGATCTTGCAAATGAATTTTGAAGCAGATATCTTCAACCGATTGAGCTGACATTTTGTATACACATTTAGTTTGCATGACCATAAATGCTGAGCTTTTTTTATATATATATATAGCTACTTATAAAAGGTTATTTTCAAAATGTAGGGTGAACTCATCTAATTCTGTGACTCGCCTAATAATTCGGTTTAGTAAATTTGGTAGAACTCTTAGGTTTCTAGAAAAAAATCTGATTATTTGTGCTAATATTCCTCATAAAAGACTGATTAAAACTCATGCGGAGACTGAATTAAATTAATTATTAATTTATTGGTATTTTATTACTCAAATGCCTTTGTCACGAAGTTAGATGAGTTCACCCTACGATGTTTTTTTTGTGTTATTCTTATCGTAACTGTTTGACGTCTGTCTGTCTCACCGGGACCTATAATCATAAGCAGAATGCTCAACAAAAGGCTTACTCTTGAATCCAATTCCGATCGATCGACATTAGTATTGTGTCGTACTCTTGAGTTGCAACACTAGCGCCCATTGCATCCGTATTGCGTGGATATTGAATGAACTAAATGGTATTGAGTTTGTCTTTATATTCCGTACTCTGAATGCTAATATAACAGCTACGGTTGTGGTTGTGGTTGTATAGTGTTGACATTGAATAATTATTGAGATTTTATTGAATTGAAATTACATTGACATTGAGATTGGTTTGAGGGTAAGTCTGTTAACATGGCGGATTTATAGCTCCAATATTTTAATTTTTTTAATCAAAAAGATAGATACAAGAATATCGCCATTTCCAAACTCCTTTAATACACTTGGGAGCTAAGAGATGGAGCCACTGACGCTTTTCCTCCCTTCCTTCTTTCCTTCCTTCCCTAAATATTCCCTGATACAAGTATTTTATTGATTGGTAACGTATTTCGTATAGAAGGCAATTTAGTTACCTTTACAATGAGAGCATTTTGTTGTAAACGGAATATTTTTTTAAGTTATAAACACATATCATAACATCACGCCTATTAACCCCGAACGGGTACATTACGGCACTTAATGCCACTGTACAATGTAACACTCACTTTTAACTATTTATGTTATGAGTCCCATGTAATAGAGGGTGAGCCTATTGCCATATACCGGACACAATTCCAGACTCCGTGCTACTATTGAGAATTAAAACATAATTGCGACCACTCGGCCAACGGCTAAGTTACGGAAGGTTCGATAAAATGAATAAAATGCTACGGACTCCGTTTCTAAGCTCCCAAGTGTATCCGAGACAAATAAACAATTTATAATTTTCTAAATACCACCACCATGATTACTTTGTATTAAATTAAATTTTAAATATAATAATGCCTCCACGAATTGACTAAAATACAACATAGTAAACACGTAATAACTGACATACACGCTACGGTCTACCGAAGAGGTCATCAGGAGCAGGTTTTTTTCATACTTGATAAAAAAAACCGGTCGACGTTTGACCACTATTTCGCGTGGTGGTAAGCGATGATGCGGTCTAAGATGGAGCATCAAATATAAAAAAACAAACCGCGTTCGACGCTCTGATTCGCCAGTTAATTGAAGCCGGCCAATCAGACTGTCGAACGCTGTCTCGATTCGATTACTTTAAGTGTAAAACAAATTTCCACTAGGCCCTCTGTTGTTGAATGCACTTTACTAGTCAAACTAGAGTACTAAGAATCTAGTTGAAACTTCTTTATATGATTAACCGGTAAACGAGCAGACGGATCACCTGATGGTAAGCAATCGTCGTCGCCCATGGACACCCGAAACACCAGAGGCGTTTCAGCGTTATGTATGTGTCGTATTTCGTCGTGTGAGTGAGGATACCGGAGAGTCAATTACCCCCTCCACAATCTCCCCAATCCCCGAATTCAAAAGGCCGCTAACGCCTCTGGTGTTCCGTGTGTCCATGAGCGGCGCCGATTGCTTACCATCATGTGATCCGTCTGCTCGTTTACCGGCTTATACCATAACAAAAAAAGTTGATTCATTAAATCTAGATATTTAAGGCAACGTTTAGTGATTTCGAGATAAAATTCGAGACATACATACAGGCAGATTCAAGCTGAACAGTAAATTTTAGGGCGTCATCAACCCAATCAATCGATCGTCGATTGATACCATTGATCGATAGTAGAATAGATGAGTCTTTACCAGACCAATCGATTGATTGCTGTCGATGTCGATCGATTGCTGTCGATGACACTGGAGTGTTGTCGATGTTGATCGATTGTTATCGATGACACTGGAGTGTTGTCGATGTCGATCGATTACTATCGATGACACTGGAGTGTTGTCGATGTCGATCGATTACTATCGATGACACTGGAGTGTTGTCTATGTTGATTGATTGCTGGCGATGACACTCGAGTATCGTCGATCTCGATCGATTCGTATTTTATACAATTATTATTTATAATAATTCTGTTTGTGGGCGACTAAGTGTAGGTAAGTCTCAAAAAGATTGTGGGACTTTAAGACTCGTTATCATTAACCCCTTCTAAATTTCAAGAAACCCGCAAGCTAATATACCTACACATTTGACTATATATTTTATTTCACCAACCTATAGTGACACCTAACAGTACAAGTAATGGGTTACTTTATGTCCTACGTCACGTTAGGCGATGATATTGGGGTGATTGGTGAAAAATGTAATAAGTTTTCGAATAAAATTAAAACTGTTTATCATCTATTTAGTTCTTGAATAAATATGGATCAAGTTTCACTAAAATTGGTTTATACGTTTCTGTGAATAGAGATTTGTAAGAAAAGCGCGCGTAAATGCTATTAGACTCAACGGACTTTGCTCTGTGTCCATACATTGCTGGCCCTGGAGCCAAGAGTATCGGATAATTATGTATTGTATTCTCTATCATTTGTAGACTCCTTGAAGATCTTGTTTTTATAGCGGACTAGCTGCAGCAAAGACATATTTCAATAAAAGTATCAGATTTTGAGGTTATAATCTTACCATAACAACGGATATTTGAACGAATGTTCAATGTTTGTAGAAATAAAGAGGTTTAGATTACTGTATAATATTATTCTTACTACCTATTTAACTGCATTCATAAAGAAAAAACCACCATCGATCGATTATAACTGATTGGACATCCCTATTTCACTTTCGACACGACATTACATTAGACTGGCTGATTTATTTATTTACTTATTTATTACATTAGGCGAAGATGGCGATCTAATGTTATTAATCGCGTTAAATTCTATTTAAAGTACATTTTGGAATACAGCTAGTCCGTGATACAGAAGTATTTGCAACGTACTTATAAAATAGGAAATTAATTATCGTATATTCTGATACTCTTTATTGCATAGGGTCATTTTGGGCATTGTCTTATCGACCTACCTCCCACTCAGTCGCCCTACAATAAGTACTGTTAGTTCCATATTAGTGCCATTTGAGGTATGCGAAATCAACCAATGTCTTCTCCCTGGCACTAGAATGGTACTAACAAGTGTTACTACAGAAGTCTCAATCCATCCAGTCGTCTCCACCAAAGTCGATGGATTCTGAAAACGACGCCGTCTCCACCTGAAAATCAACAAAGAATTGTATTATGAAACTGATTGTAAAAGAGTAACCTATGGAGTTTCTTGCTCGTTCTTCTACATAGGAATCTACACCTTGGAACGAGCAAATAGATCAACTAGAGGACTGACCGCTAGACTTATTTTTAAGGGGGGAAAATCGTCGAATCACTGACTACTCCCGCCTGGGTGAGGCGGGAGGGAGTGTCAGACTCTTACTGACTAAAAACCACCCCGTTCCTTCTGCTGCGTTTCGAGCCGGAGCCCCGGTAACCCGTTAGATTTACAAAATCGGCATCAGCCCTGTTGGGCCCCATCCGTGGTGGTCTAATGGCTCTTTGAGGCGCGCTCGGAACGCGACGCGCCGTATGACCGACGGACTAACATTTAAATATTTTGTTTGACGTTCAAAAGCGAGTTCAAGGTCTAATTGGAATAAATAATTTTGATGTTTTAAACTTGAATAAAAGTCACAGAATTTCTTCAGCTCAGCTTCAACAAGCTAGGCTGCATGAGGGTATAAGTTCGAAACCTGGCAAGTTATAATACCATACTGAATTACCTAAAAAATATGGGTTAATCCCGTGAATATACTGAGAAAAGCTCTACTAGTTTCGAGTCACAGAGGGGCTCTTCTTTACGAGCAGTGTGCGCGGTCGTAGCGATGTCGAGACAGGGGTGCACATTACGGCACTTAATACCACTGTACAATGTAACACCCACTTTTCACTATTTATGTTATGAGTCCCATGTAATAGGGGGTGAGTGTATCATATACCGGGCACATAGCCAGACTCCGTGGAAACTACTAGAAAACCCAGTAATACTTTGCCCGACCCGGAAATCGAACCCGATACCCCATTGCCCGGCTAACTACTTGTAATCGACTAAACCATATTATGTTTTACCGATTATTCCTTATATAGTATACAACTATGATTAATCGTCATCGTCAAAGCCCCCTGCATAGTCGTCCACATCTTCGTAAGTTTCTTCATATTGTTGTTGCTGGCCTGCATCAGGGGGCGCTTGTGGTGGGGGCTGGCCCTAGACGTTAAGGAGGGAGAGGGTTAGGACGGAAGAGGGATAGTGAGCGACATACACGGTCCATCAGGAAGGATAAAGAAAAATATAGGTTCACAGACTCGGAATCACACCGAGGCATTGTGGATCACACTGAGGCTGAGGACTCACAAAGCGATATTCTCCCGCGCTTTGTAGAAAACGATAAGTGTGGGAGAGCCATGCTTCGACGCGAATGGGCCGGCTCGACCGGAGTAATACCACGGCCTCACAGAAAACCGACGTGAAGCAACGCTTGCGTTGTGTTTCGTCGTATGAGTGAGGTTACCGGAGGCCCAATTACACTCCCCTTCCCCAAGCTCCCCAATTCCTGAATCCCCAACAATCCTCAAACTCCTAATCCCCAAAAAGCCCGTAACGCACTTGTAACGCCTCTGATGTTCCAGGTGTCTATGGGCGACGCCGATTGCTTACCATCAGGTGATCCGTCTGCTCGTTTACCGGCTTATGGCATAAAAAAAGTATGTAAAAAATTAAAGCACATTCTCGGTGCGTTTTACGGCCGCGGCAGTTGCGATAGTTTGCGGCTCTCGCTGCACTGGCAGGCGCGGTCGGTCCTGCAGCCGCCGAAGACTCATGAGTTTTGAAAATAAATCTCCAGTCCGCGGGTGAAAATCGCGTCGTGAGTCCACAGCATAAGAATTATTTGTGCGGGATTCGAAACTGCGACACGTTAAACAGTATCCAGTTTCAAAACCACTGCGCCAACCGTGCAAAATAGTCGTAAATCGTGACCCGCCTGACGTGGTCATGATCACCTCGCCTAGTCGGAGGATCCTCCTTTTTCCTAACTTACATCTTGTTTCCTAAATACCTTATTTTATACAGAATACGACTTACCGCTGGTGGAGGACTGGCGCTGTTAAATCCACCTCCCATGGCGTACCCCGCAATTCCCCCCGCGGCGAGGGCGGCGGCCCCCATACCCACCGCTGCCCCCGTCCCCACACCACCCCGCTGTTGGCCTTGAACTAACTGTGGTTGTGGTTGACCGCCATACTGAAAAACAAGGTACACCTAATCTTACAACAAGCTTTAAATAATTTGTATTGAACAGCATTTATTGTCATGCAAACTAAACGTGTGTATCAGCTCAACCGCTTGAAAATATCTGCTTCAACATTCAGTTGCAAGATTTCACTTCATATACATGTAAGATGTTTTGTATGTGTGTGCACAGCCTTATTACCAGCCTTGCGTTCGTCGCCTAACAAGAATGACGTTTGAGACGAAGTGGGACAGTGACAGCTGACAGCAGCCCGCGCTTTTTTGATAGAATAAAAAACCTCGGATAGATTTATTATTTTAAAATTTTCTAATTGTTTTAAACTTATATAGAAGAAAAGTTAAAGTGCTTGTACAACTGATTATTGAAAGTAATGAGTAAAAACCTTTAATTGTCGATTTTTCTGTTTCAGATTGGTATTGGTAATGTGTACATGTTTGATCTTAATTGATTTACCAGGTACTTTACTATTGAAGTACCTGTACCTAATGTTATCATCAATTTAAATAGGTACCTAACTTTCTGTTTTAGTTAAATCAAAATTGTGCATTATTTGCTCCCGTGTTATCCTACATATTACATAAATATTAAACAGTGCAAGTTAAATGTAAGCTTGTAATATCTCACCATTGCTCCTTGGGGTCCAACTTGACCTGGAACAAAACAATATAATTATTGACAACAAGGCAGTTTTATGAAGTCAAAAGTCAAAATCATTTATTTCAATTAGACCTGGGTGCTTACTCTTGAAACCAATCTCAATGTCAATGCAATAGGGTAGATGCCGAATTTTTATTTTAATGTCCGTCTGGTAGATTATTTTAAAACATATTAGAGACGTATTTTTTATTTTCTTATAGAAACGAATACTTTCGACGATATATTGATTTGAAATGTCGCGTGACGTCATTTCTATGTATGTACATTTTATACGTAGAAATGACGTTTTAGCCCCCACTCCTAAATTTTGATTCGCTTTATCTAAGAATTGTTTTATTATGCGACAAAATAAATAAATAGGTACGTGTCTAATATTTTTTCATTACCTAACTGTCAAACTAATTAGATTTTTAATTTTCATACCCTGTCATCATCCCTATTGCAATCCAATAAAATCATAATAATTGTTTAATGTCAAAACTATACAACTCCTATCGTAGCTGTTACAATAGTATTCAGAGTAAGGAATATAAAGCCAAACTCGATACCATTTAGTTCATTCAATATCCACGCAATACGGATGCAATGGGCGCCAGTGTTGCAACTCAAGAGTACGAAATTTCACAATACCAATGTCGATCGATCGGATTTGGATTCAAGAGTATGAAATCAGGAAGGCACTTTTGAACGTCAACAAAAATTTAAAAGTGAAGCTATTCGCTCATTTCACGGTGCAGATTCCTATGGAGAAGACGGAGCAAGAAACTCCATATTACACTCCTTTTATTTACACAGTTTTGTTGTTTCAATTGTGCGAGAACTCACACACAATTTTGGAGGGACATTTGGTCATATGTATCGGGGGTAGACTTGGGTAGTTCGCGAACGAAAGACAAAAATGAACTAGTTCATTAGGAAAGCAGCAACTTATCTTTCGTTCAGTTTCATACAGACAGACTGTATCTCTAGTTCACTTGGTGATTCGCATCTCATTTTGACTCAAGAACTACTACCGAACGACGCGACGATCGCTCGTTTCGTTTCTGAATTGAACAAGAAGGAACTACCGAACTAAATGAATCAAGACACTGACAAAAACCGATCGAGCACGTGCATCGAACAAGCAATAATATACTTTACGTAACAAACAATACGGTACCGTTTTCCAAAATTTTGTCCAGATGACGTATCTTTTAACAAGTATAGAAACCAATATCTGTTGACCTCGAATCATATAAGCGTACCATACAATGATAGGTCATTTTATACTGGTCATAAATTGAACTAGATGAAAGATATAGTTCGTCGGACGAGAAAGATACGTATCTCTCTTTTCATCTTATTGAACTATTATTCGCAACTCTAATCGGGGGTCTCATTGGCGGTGGCACGTGCAGTGGATCGCTCGATTTCCTACAATATGGTTGAGTTGGGCGGTGCTGGGGTACGAGTCATGTAACATATTCCTGGACGGGCACCGGGAACTACGACGGGTCAGCTCCAGACTGTAGTATGATTTTATTGTCCTTAGGATTATTTCCTTTTTAATTTCTTTGACTGGATTTTGGTGTTACATAGTTTTTTTAAAAAAAAAACGTTGCTCCACACTAGGATTTTCTCCTGTGTCGTGTGTGCGTTTACAAACATACAAGTCCATATACACATGACACCCAGACCAGAAATAACAATTTGTGAATCAAACAATGTATTGTTCCGTGCGGGAATCAAACCCGCGACACGATTCACGGCAGCCGCTTGCCCAGCCACCGCACCAACCGTGCAGTCAAATGTGACGATCTTTGCACCTACAAACTTTATGAATAAGAGGACAAGATATTACTAGCTAGTTTTTGTCTTTTAGCTCCGACCCTCGAATCACTCGTTCTCACATAGGCGCGAAATTTAACGTAGAACAGAGCACAGGAACTTCAAGTGTAATATTAAATCGAATTGGCCGGCTCGACCGGACCGGATACCACGGCCACATAGATAAACGATGTGAAACAACGCTTGTGTTCCGTCATGTTTTCTGTGAGGGACCACAGGCCCAATTACCATCTGCTCCCCAATCTCCCCAATCCCTGAATCCTCAACAATCCTCAAACTCCTAATCCCCAAAAGGCCGGGAACGCACTTGTAACGCCTCTGGTGTTTCAGGTGTCCATGGGCGACGCCAATTGCTTTCCATCAGGTGATCCGTCTACTAGTTTGCCGGCCTGTCCCATAAAAAAGAAATTTCAGTATAGCTGCAAAATTGTAGGTAGCCCTGTAGATGACTTAACTGCAATCCCCAAGCAAATTCACAAGCTTGGAGATTATCATGAACCCTGCTTCATAAGAGATTTTTTTAAGCAGTGGACAATGTGGGCATCCTTTAGCGAATTATTATGACAATCACCTTTTTTCTCTAATTTCGTTGGAATATAAAATGTTGATAGGTACTCACTTTTTGGACAAAATAATATAAAGAAAACCTCATGCTTTAGCCCTATGGTATGGTTATTGGGACAAGTCTGCCACAACCTCTCAAAACCACTGCAACTCCTTTACACCAGGGTCTACAGTAGATACAACCATGAAAACACCGGAACACTGAAGTCCGGCGCGTCCCAGGGGCATGAGTAACTGTCTTGATTCCCGCAACGAAGTGAATCAAAAGATATTATAAGAGAAGAAAAAAAACGATAATTTCCACTTTCCTCGGTAAATTATTGCAGGAGACAGAGTGAATTAAGCCTAAAGGCACAAATAGAGACTGTACAACTAGGAGAAGCCCAGTCGCCAAGCACCACGGAAATTTGACTAAAAAACTAAGTGGGTCCTATGTGTGAACTGTTATATTTGCTTCCAATAATAGGTGTGGCAAAAGGTCCATACGGTCCATACGGACCTTTTGCACGCTCAATAAGCTACACCTGATAAAACAATTAAATTATCTAACATAGTGTTACGTTCATATTGCCAGAGATCACACTGCCAGAGTATGTGATGGGCCGACTGCTCGTATTGCAACTCCGCTGTCGAACATTGGCACCATGGTGAATTAATAAGTTAAATTAAATGACAAGAATTAGCTTTTAAAGTTGCCGAAAGAAATTAAGCAACACCATACCAAGGATTTGCTTGACAGTCTTACTTGTTAAATCTCCCAAGTTCCACCAAAGTGAAAGAATTAAATATTGTCTGTAATGTTTATTCAGACCATATATTAAAAAATCAAATGAAACCATATGTTTATGGCATAGGAGGCAAATGAGTAGACGGATCACCTGATGGTAAGCAATTGGCGCCGCCCGTTGACACCCGCTACACTAGAGGAGTTACGAGTCCACTCAACGGGTTTTATCTATTTAAATAATTTGCAAAATAAAGTCTCTGGGTTCGAACCGAGACGGATCATCGCTCCACTCGAAACACGAGTAAGAACGGGGTGATGTTTAGTCAGTGTTAACGATGCATCAGTTTTATTAAAAATAATTAGTTTACCTTCATTTAACTTATTACATTATAAAGGAAGCACCCGCGGGTAGAGGGACGTGACCGTCTTAATAAATATTTTTTTTACAACGAAAAAGTTCAGAACCATTTCAAACTTGACGTACCGCTCGCTTCCTTAGCTCAAGTTTTGTACCCTAATTTCTCAATTTAACGTTTTTCTATATACCTCGGTGTGTACTTCTCCTACCTAAGGGCCTGGCCACAGCTTCTAGCGGTGCGGCGCGCGGTGCGACGGGAGGCGCGGCGGGCGACGCGATTTGCGTTGGTATGCCACAGCTCGACTAGTTGCGACCGCGGCGGCGTCAGCGGTGGATGTACTCAGTATTATTTATAATGGCCCTATCAAAAGTGGCACGATATTGTCTTGAGACTAATGCGTTTTCAGCTCAAGATATCATTAACTCTAAAATTGGAACGCACTCAGTTAATGAAAAAAGGAAAAACCTTGGCGAATTTCACACGCTTTATCACGAATATAGGAACTATCCAAACTATCAATATCTCACTAATAAGTTTTTCGGTATCCATTTGATGCGGAGCGAAATTTTCAAAACGATTTGTTCAGTTCGCGCGAACACAAATTGCATTTGTTTCACTCGCACACCGCGCCGCCCGTCGCCGCCGCATGTCGCGCGACGCTTTTCGCGCCGCAGTTCGCTCCGCAATTCGCGTCGCCGTTAGCTGTGGCATACTTCATACGTTGTCTACCACTTGTTTTCTCCGCTCACCGCTTGTCGCGCCGCATTTCGCGCCGCAATTCGCGCCGCGCTTGGCTGTGGCCAGGGGGTAAGAATCAAACACTCACTCGCCTCATCCAGGGCGGGAGAAGACATTGGATGATTTCCCCCCTCAACGAAAAAGGTTCAAACCGAGAATAAATACAATATGAGGGAGACAAAAAATGAAACACCAAAAAACATTTATTTAAATATTTTTTATTAACTTTAAAATATTAAATTATGCAAAATACATACACAGACTAATACAACAGTTTTTAATTTATTACATTTTATTAAATGCAAAATTACATTTTTGTGGAGACTAAATAAAAATATCGTACATAAACTTGCAAGTTAAGTAAAAATTCATTAATTTTTGTGAAAAAGCTGTCTAACGCATACATATGTGCGAAAAATGAAAAAAAAAGAACAAAAAAATCGCCCTAAAGTTAAAAACAAATTTGAAAAAATAATTACATTTCTAAATGCCAACAAGTAAATGCGTTAAAAATTTAATTTAAAAAACATTTATGTACGAATATTCGAATAATATGTTAAAAAATATACCATTTTTGATTTTACATACATTTAAAACCTGATTACGAAAAAACATACCCTAGTATCCAAAAGGGGCGGAGCGTTGTGCTTCATACATTTTTGACAAATTTTGTTTTCAGTTTCTTTTACGTTTTTTATATAAACAAAAAATGAGAAACTTAATTTTTTAATTTTGATTTGATCAAAATATATCTTTTTTTATCTACCAAACACCGTTT